AAAGAGCGAACCAGATCCCTTTCGATAAAGTCACTTAAGGAAATAGTGCACTCCTTTGCCAACGCTACCCATTTCCAGCACTGCGAGTGGCACTCGCCAAAGTCTTGCGCATTTTGCGCATCGTGAGCGTCTCGCCCGTTCGCCACGCCATCATCCGGCGATCCCAGAGAAAGTTCAGAGCTGCCCGTCACAGCAGCTCTGTCATTGTGAATTTCAGCGGATTTTTTTCGGGCAGATTCCTTCTCCCGCGCCGTCGCAGATGATGGGAATGATTTTCCATCAGCGTCGGCGCTCCGCAGATTCGTCAACGGGCAGTTGTGTTCTGCAACGACGCTCCGAAGCTTCCCGGCACCATCGGAGTGGTTGGTAGCTGGAACGCGGCTTGCAGCGGGAGCAGCGCGATACGGTCTCACGGGGAACGACGCGAGCCGCGCGGGGTGCAGCCCCGAGGGGGTTGGAACCGGCACTGATATATTCACATTGGGTAGATTGTCGTCTAGGATCATATCAGACGCTTCGCGGTCCGCGTAGCCAGCGGCACGACGTGCCCAATTGAGAAACGACATCGTGGCGCGAGACTGAGCGGATCAAGGGAAACAAATGCTTGTGGCAGGATCTTGGTCAGTAGTGCCGCCAATGATAGCACTAGTGCTAGTGCTGGTAGTGCGAGTAGTAGCTAGCACGGTGTTTGTTAGTGATGCTTGACAGGTGGCTCAAGAGAGAGGAAGTCGTTAACAATTAGATTCTAAAACGTCCTGTCCCTTGTACTAAAGTGGTCGAAGGGGGACAATTTGAAGTGGTATGCGCGTTGGGAAAGGAGTGAGTCGAGCGGAGAGTGTCTTGGATCACAAACGAATAAAACTGGTACCGCCAATCGCACGGCACATCAGGTCGTCGCCACAAATGAGCCTGTGTAATTCGTCCTTCGGATTCCACTACCATGTGAGGTGTGTGGACGAAATACATTATCGCTGAGAGGGATTTTCTGTGTCGGCGACATCGGCCAATCGCCTGCTTCGCTGGGTGTGCGTGGTGTGCAGCCGAAGAGGAACATGCGCAGCCGCCTTTTTCCCGCAAGAACAGCAGTTACCAGTGTTATTCGTGGTGCTGCTACGAGGGGCAGTCTGTGGAAGGGGACGGCGAAGGCGTATGGCTTGAGTCAACATTGGGTTTCTGAGATGTCTCTTGTTCTAGAGTGGTCACGAGTGAGTGGTCTGCGCGTTCGGAAATGAAAGGATGAGTCGAGCGGACAGAGCATTCTGATCGTACGCGATGAAAACTCGTGCCGCCAATCGCACAGATCGTCGTTACAAAAGAGCCTAATCTGTCCTTCCGATTCCAGAATGCGGGTGTGTGGACGAAATCCACTATCGCTGAGGGGGATTTTCTGAGCTGGCGACATCGGCCAATCGCCTGCTTCTCGTGGAGCCGACGATGACCTGCACAGCCGTCTTACGCACTATTATCTGCAAGAACCGACCTAGCTGTCGCAGCTTGCTTCACTATTCCACAAAATAATCGAACCTGCATCGTCTTGTGCTTGGTCGGCCTTCCCCCGCTCTTGCTCGCTCCGCTGCAAGAGCTACAACTGTACAACGTTCCAAAAGGCTTGACTCACAGTGGTGCTTGAAAGAATCCCGCTAAAGTCACACAAATAAAACAAGGATGATTTATTTCGATAGCCGGGTAGCTGGCATGTACTTTCCCATGGTAAGAAGCACACAATGCCCGATCGCTACGATGCCAACTAGGGTCGAATGCCAACGCACCACATCTCTCTGATGAACCTCCTGTCTGGGTGTGTAGGCTGATGAAAGGTGTCTGGGTGTGTTGGGTGTCTGACGAAACTCGGCTGCCTTTCGTCAATGCTCGTGATTTTCGTGAAAGGTGTTGCTTATCCGCATGTTTCGAGTTTGTGGCCAGAATTAGGGACTTCGACCAAACGACGGCAGCGCGCAAAGTTCCAGTTTGTTGATTGGCTGGCTAGTTTATCCATTTCGAGTTACACTGCACCATTTTCTTGATCGGGAATGCCTTGTCCCATCGTGTTGTCTGTCACTCGCACCGCGCCCAAATTTGGAAAAGGTTCAAATTATGGTTGGTTCGTGGCTAACATAGGCTAGGCTATCAATGTTCAACGACACTGCTAAGTTTCGACCACCGACTTTCATGCGAGTCACGACCATAACTCACGCTTGCTAGTATATCAGCCGACTTTCATGCTCATGACAACCACTATCAACGTTACACTGCTCAGAATGTCTCGCCTGTATTCAGCAATCCTCCTCGTGCTCCTCTTCGCCCGAGCAGCACAGCCGATTCACGTCGCACAGCCTACTAGTACAACTACTAATTCCGGCAGCGACGCGACAAACGCTGGCTCCGAAACGTCCAACGCTCCCGCCAAGCTTGACACCTCGACATCGCCTGTGCTGCAGCCCACAGACTACCCGCTCTGTCCGTTCAGCCAGCGCCCGCCAGCGCAAACGAACGTGACATTTTCGCGGTGCAGGGACGCGGCGGAATGGTCGTGCTGCGACGACTGCATGGACATGTTCGCGGCGCTCAAAGCCGTTAGCGCCGACGAGTCGACGGTGCTCAAAGTTCTCCTTCCGTCAGTTCTGAAAACCTTGGGGGGATCAGCTGTTCGAGTGAGTTGCGCTCCGTTGTTTTGTTTTGTTTTTTTTTTTTTGCTAAGGGCGGGTCGGGCCTAATTTGATTTCAGTCCATGATAGTGATGGGAAATTCAGTCCAAGAGCGAGACATGGTTTAACGCGTTATCCGATTCCCTCCATCTTCCCTTCCCCCTTCTTTCCGCCCCTCCGCGCCCCCTTTCCCCTCCTCCTCACACGCCGCCCTCTACTCCACGCAGCAATGCGCGCGGTTTGTGGGCTTCGATCAGTGCAGCCAGGAACTCGAGGCGATGAATTGCGCCGTGATGTGCAACCCCGGTGCGTTTCCGATATCAATTTTCACCCCAACCTCCGGTGACATACTGATGCATAACATGTGCTTTCTAGTATACGCATGTTTTACAAGACAATTTGAACTACGGTAGTAACCGCTGGTATCTACACTGCCTTTGTCCTTGCAGAGAGTGGAAACTATGTTGTTGCTGATTCGGAATGGTCCGGGACCTTCTCTGTATGCGATGGCTACGCATCTTACGTTTACTCCGAATGCAAAGGCCTACCGAGTAAGTTCGACAGTACATGTGAACTGGCATCGCATTGCTCATATACCCCCGTTAGTTACCATTTGTTGTTTCTCTTTCGGATTTTTGTTTGCTTTTTTGGTCAAACTGCTTCAAACTTTCACTCACTTCGCTCGCTTTATGGTCCCCGATTCTCGTTCTCCTTTTGCCTCTCCATTACAACAGCAGCCTCCCTCCTTTATACCACCACTATCTACAGTCTAAGCCATTTTTATCACCATTGCCGCACAATGTCTTCCTCCCCGTCCTTTTTGTTCGGCATGTGACCCATCAGTGGCCACAGGAACCACATTCGGCAACCTCCTCACTAGCAAGGACGTGTTCTTCAGAGTGTTCTTCGGGTCACTTTTCAGAGCGCTAGGCGGGCGAAACATCACTGTGAACATGGCTTCAGTAAGTATGAGATTTAACAGTGAATCTGGGTGTTTTGATATGGGTAGAAAGAAGGGCCTCCAGGTAAGTACGACCTCACTACAGCTGTGCCATGTCGAATGCACAAGGCGTTTCCCCAGGCCACGCCAAATGCACAAGGCCCCGACGGACCTGGGGGTTTACTATAGACACCATCGAGACCGCACCGCCTTCCTGTTCTGTTTCAGTTTCTTCCTTCCCCTTTCTTGGACCGACTGGGAGTTAAAATCTGGTCCAGGCGGTCTAAGGATGCATCCGACTGAAAACAGGTCTGATTTTGACTGGTCTGTTTCTGTTCTGCTTCTGTTCTGTCCCTATTTGTTTTCATTCTGCCTCCTTCAGGGCACAACCGGGTGTTACAACGGGGCCAAGCAGCACCCGCCGGTTCCTGCCTGCTGCGACCCGCTCAACGACATTCCAGGGTGCCCCTTCAAGGACAACGCGACTTACGGCGCGTTCGTCGGTCGCAAGGTTGCTCCCACTGAGTGCAAGTCTTATGCGCAGGTGTCATCTGGAGCGTCTGACCAGTCAGGCTTGGTGTTGCCCTCATCAGCGTCGCCGCCTGCTAAAGCTGGTGGAAGGATAAGACAGAATGCGGTGCAAATAGTTTTGACACACTTTCTCTTCTGTGTTGTGGCTCTGCTGCTGCTCTTGTAATAGAGCTAGCTGTTGCTTTTGTTGTAGGACTAGCCCGTATTTCAAGTTTCAGGCTGGCTGGCCCCCTTTCTATTTTGCTACAGGAGCACTAGCCCCTTTTCTGTGTTCCAGGGCTAGCCCCTTCATCTACGGTATTTTTATTTACCACGACTAGAAAAAATCCCAAAGTTCTAGGACTAGCCCCCCTTTCTATTTTGTTAACAGGAGTAGCCCCCTTTCTATGTTACAGGACTAGCCCTCTCTCTATTTTGTTACAAGAATACCGTATCCCTTGCTTCTGCCACACAAAGAGCAACCCTTTGGGTTCAAAGGTAGTATTATTTTTCCCCTCAAAACGGTGACATACACATTTGACAGTGGAAGTGGCAACACCAGTACCAGCATTGCTGAAAGATGCGCCTTATATGGTAACGGTACCACCTAAAATGAATACAGTATACTCAAGAGTCACACGTCACACCAGGAAACTTATGTGGAAGCGAATCATCACACCATCATGCAAGGCATCGTCTCCGCTTCACTTCACGAATGGCAACCGGGTTGCGAAGCACGCGCTTGAATACATTTGCCCTGTATGCTTGGAAGCAGCACAGCCACCCCCCACAGCCACTACACCACTGCTCTTCACAGCCAGGTGCCAGCTCACACCACTTGCCAGCTCACAGCAGCTGCCAGCTCAGCTCACAGCAGCTGTTAGCTCACAGCCAGCACTGCTGCCTCACAGCAGCTGTCGCACCCCAAACACTCCTGCCGTAACAAGGAGACCGAGCAGGCCGAACGTGCCCCACATGCCCTGCACGCGGTTGCGCGGGTTTCCGGTGTAGTAGCTGGAGCAGTGGGGGGGGAGAGAAAGAGAGCAGATGGGATGAAAGCAGACAGAATGTCCCCCACGTGCACGCGGTTACGGGGGTTGCCGGTGTATTAACTGGGGCAGGGGGGGTGGGAGAAGCACAGGGGGGGTGGGAGAAGGCACAGGGAGTGTTGAAGTGGGTTGGAAGTGGGGGGGAAGAGGGGGGGAACTGGAAAGAAGTGAGAGCACGTGTGTGAGACGTGTCTGGTGGAGAGAGCATATATGTGAGCGTGTGTTAGAGTTAGAGTAAAAGTGTGCGAGAGACACCGTGAGCGGGACAGTGTGAGAGAGAGTGTGTGAGAGATAGTGTGGATCACCAATACATGCTAGTACCTATAGGCATATATCAATACATGGACCGTTAGAGAGAGTGTGAGAGATAGTGCGAGACAGAGTGTGGGATGGAGTGAGAGAGAGAAGAGTGTGGGAGAGATAGCGTGTGAGAGTAAGAGGGAGATAGTGGAAGGGAGAGTAGAGGAAGGGAGAGTGGGAAAAGTGAGAGAGTGCGTGAGAGTTCAAAGGGTAAGGAGCTAACCCGAGTGAATAGAAGACGCGGCCGATGACCCACACCATTCCACACCTGCAGGGGAGACGAGGGGAGATGCGGGGAGAAGGAGACACGGACAGAGAGGTGAAAGGAGGGAGGAAGAAGAGGTGAGAAGGGTGGGAAGGAGGATGGGTAGAGGGGAGGATGGCATAGGGGTTGGGATTGGGAGCTTGCAGCAGGGGGTGGGGAGCTCGCAGTGTGGGATTAGGCATAGCTGGCAATGAGGAGGAGCGAGAAGAAGTGGCAGGGTGCTATCACGCGAGAAGTAGGGGAGCGACGCGAGCATAGATGGACGTACGTGGAAGCGGTGACGGGGTAGGCATAGCCGGAAATGAGGAGCGGCGAGAGGAAGGCGGGGTGTCATTCAAAACGATGGGGCCAGATATGGATGACAAGGGCAACGTACGGGAGGCAGTGATGGGGTAGGCATAGCCAGCAATGAGGAGCAGCGAGAGGAAGGGAGGACAGGCAGGTTAGCGAGCATGAGGGAGAGAGAGTGTGTCAACGTACGCAGAGGCGGTAATGGGATAGGCATAGCCGGCAATGAGGAGCAGCGAGAGGAAGGCGGGGTAGCTCTCAAGGGTGTTCTGGTGGGCGCGCTGGTAGCAGTTGAACAGGCTGTCCTCCTTGTCCTCGTACATCTGCACACCCAGGGGCGCAGAGCGGTGCAGAGCGGTGAGGAGGGAAGGCGGGGTAGCTCTCAAGGGTGTTGTGCTCAGCCAGCGGTGCAGAGCGGTGAACGGAGGTGCGAATGGGGTAAAAAAAGTGAGCACGCAAGAGCAGTGGGAGCAGGTGAAGCTACCACCCTTAGCATTGTGCGTCTGGAACAAGGTAGAACCACAATGTAACCACATTGTAACCATCCTGTAACCTCCTTGTAACTGCACTGTAACCACTGTGCAACTGCATGGTAACCACCTGGTAACCGCCTGGTGATTACGACCTTCACATCCTAAAACGCAACTCCTGAAGGTCATGAGCCCTCCGGTGCCCACCCTGTTGCACTGGATGGCATTGCAACCACCTGGTAACCACCTGGTAACCACTTGGTAACCACCTGGTAACCACCTGGTCCCACCTGGTAACCACAGCACCCAGATCACCACCCCTGTGCCCTCCCGTGCGCACGTTGGGGTACGTTTTTTGAGAATTCTAAAAAACCACGTTGGAGAAAGCAACATTCGACCACTCTACCGCCCCCTCCCGTGCGCACCTTGGGGTACGGGACGTTGCTGGCCCTCCGTTGCTTCGCCACCTGCCACGTCAGCACGCACAGGACAAGCAGAGGTGAACGGCGAGTGGTCAACGGAGTCAACAGAGTCAAGGGAGTCAACGGAGCCAGCCAGCTGTGGGTGGAACCAACCGAGCAAGTGCACATGGGATTTAGTGTGATGTAGTGTAGTGTAGTGTAGTGTACGGTAGGGTAGCGTGGTGTGGGTAATGTAGGGTAGTGTAGTGTAAAGTGTAGGGTAGGGTAGTAGTGTCGTGTCGGGTAGTGTAATGTGGGCGTGCGTTTTCAGATGTCCGCTTGCGCACTTTGAGCGGATCGGTTTCGTGAGAACGCTAGTTTAACGAGGTCCGTTTTCACATGCACGTTAAGTGACCAGGACGCATATTCGATACAAGTCAGCCCGCCGATATAAGCACGCGACCTCGATCATCTGCCAACGCGTCAGCACGGCGCAAGCAGCAGCTGTCATACCACCAGTCGGCATACCCGCTATAGTTCAGTCTGATATAAGCGATGTACCTCGATCATCTGCCATTGCGTCAGCACAGCGCTAGCAGCAGCAGTCAGCACCACCAGGCCGAACTCGCGCGGGAGCGACTCAATCACCACCGCGCGTGCAACTCCCGGCCGCGCGGAAACGGCGGAAGCGGGTTTCCGCGACCACGCGGAGGTTGTGCTCCGCAGCTGCAGCGGGCAGGCGGAGGCGAGGCCGTGGCGCGGTAGGCGCGCGGATACGGCGCAACGGGCTCCCCGCGGTGCGCTCGCGCGGGGAATGACGGGGGCGGCAGAGGATGCGGCAATGGAGGCCATGGCGGAGCGTACTTTGCGGTATTCGACGATCAGTGTTGAGTTGAAGATGAAATATTGATTGTACAAAAATACTGGTTCGGAAATTTGTTGGTTGGAGCCAGGGAAGTCGAATTCCTATACCGAGTGCTGAAAATGTGAGTAGAGAGGTGCTTGGCATCTGTTACGAGTGCAATTGAGCGAGCGAGCTAGAATTGCACTATCGAAGCAAACAGTACATTGAGAGTAGGCATGAGCGAAGAACATATAGAGAAGCTAGCGTGGTAACGCTAATGTATGAAAACGGGGTGCGCTACGGGCCTAGCGCCGAGGCTGGGAGTTGTCGAGGCGGAGGTCCGGAGCGCGGGTTACCAACCGAACCGTGAGGTTGGGTCGCGTCGTGAACAGTGGCGGGAACAGTGTCGAGGCGAGTGTCGCGAGTGGTAACGGTGCACTGTTGAGAGTTGTTGGCGGGAACAGCGGTGTACGCGCTGAGCAGGGACACGAAGTAAGGAAAAGGAATTTTCCTTACACTACCCCGCCCCCCCCCTCACCCCTCCCCCCCCCCCCCCCCCCCCATCCCCCCCCACCCCTAAGAAGGCCCTCTTTACGAAAGTACATGTATATCCTGAAAATGCGGCTGCACAGGTACTCGGTGAGGACAGGGTGGTTCTCAATTCTGTCCAGAGGAACCCAATAGTCTTCGGTGGGCATGCGGTCTTTCCGGCGGATTAAAAACTCAATCCCGCGAGCTCCCCGTGGATCAAGATTTTCTCGGGCGTGATGATTGGCTCTAGTCGTGTCCTGCTGGCTGGGCGATTGCGAGGCAGTTGGCTGATGGATGGGACGTATGGGCAAAGCAGGCTGACGTGGAATGGCGGGCTGACGTACCAGTCAGCAGGGAGGAGGAGGTGGGCAGTGACAGGGGTGATGATATGGCTAATGCGAAATGGCCTACAATATTGGGGGCGTACTTTTGGAGTGACGGGCAGGCGGAGGTTCTGGGTGTCAAGTAAGACGGGGTCGTCGGGCTAATAAATAACAGGTTGGCGGTGGCGGTCGGCGTTGCGTTTAGCCATGATGTTTGATTTTTTAATTGCGTCTGCTGCTCGGGTCCGTGCTGCCTGTAAAATTTCTGCGAATTGTTGCGCGCGTGGCACCGGGTTGCCAGGATTCAGGGTCATGGGTACTGTGGGGTCTTGTCCATAGTTCAGGTAAAACGATGACTGTTGGGTTGTTGCTGTTGTTATAACTGAAGGATCGAAGTGGATAGGATAAGTCTGCTAAGTTGAGGGAAGACAATGAAGTCTTGATAGTGACCTTGTTAATAATAGCTTGAAAGAAAACAAGATGATTAACAGATAGGAGTACAAGGTGTCAAGAACTGGAAGAAGAGAGATTGCACTAGGAGGCAGAGGGGATACAAATACGAAACCCTAACAGGGCTGTACTCACTACTGAGTACCCCACTGCAGACTAGACAATATTAACATTCTGACACACCCCCATAGGCAAAGTGGGGTGTAATCAGCACAACAAGCAGCCATAGAGCAAGTTCACAAATTAGCCCTAGTGCCAGACATAGCAGAGGGGCAGTGAGGAGGAGGAGGGACTACGAGAGGAGGGGAGTTGGGAGGCGGCAGGTGAAGCTGCTGACACACGGGCAACGGAGCAACTGGCACACTGGCTACCGGAGCAAGGGCCCCGGACTACTGGAGCAAATGGCTTCGCGGCTAGACGAGCGGCTGGAGCAACGGACCCACGGGCGACTGGAGCAACGGGCTCACGTGCTACCGGAGCAAGGGCCCCGGACTACTGGAGCAGGAGGCGACACAGCGGCTACCTCCTTCCAACCTCCCCCCATTGTCCTCAAACCCTTTTCTCACATCCCCCCCGGCTAGCGCCACTCCCCAACCTCACCCACTCCATCCCCCCCCTTAGCGGCAGCTGTAGCAGTGGGAGAGAGTGTGAGGATCTAGGATCGAGCTCAGAAAAGAGAATGTGAATTGAATTGAATGATCACCTGGGTACAACACGAGGCTATATATAGGCTCGACACAAGGCCCCGTAACCAGGTGTTACGCGAAGGTTTCGCGGGTCGCGAAGCGTCCCGAACAGATCCTTACCGAATTCGGTAGAAGGCAATTCGGTGGCAACCGAAAAGCCAGAATTCGGTGCACGCAACATAGCTCGGTGCTATAACTATAATAAAATATAGGAAAGCACCTAGCCTAGGAAATCAAGCAATTCATGCATGCATACGATTATCCTATGCTAGAAATAGCATAATAAAGTAAAGGCAAGCAAGCATAGCTGGCATAAGCCGTCGTACTCTCACAGAGAGAGGAGGAGGAGGGGCAGCTGGTCACGCACTCCCACCACCCCCATACCCCCCCTTACCCCCGCCACCCCCATACCCTCCACACGGCTGCACTCGCAACAGGAAGTCGAAGGAGGAGGGGGGGAGGGAAGGCGGCGTCGCGACGTGCAGGGTGCGGGCGGGCTGCCGGGTCCAGGAGGGGCGGCACGCGGGTCCCCAGGGGCGGCGCGCGGGTCCAGCAGGGGCGGCGCGCGGGTCCCGCAGGGCGTCACGTGGGTCCAGCGGGGCAGCGCGCGGGCCCCGCAGGGCGTCGCGCGGGTCCAGCGGGGGGCGGCGCATGGGTCCCGCAGGGCGTCGCGCGGGTCCAGCGAGGCAGCGCGCGGGTCCCGCAGGGCGTCGCGCGGGTCCAACGGGGGCGGCGCGCGCGTCCCACGGGGCGGGGCACGGGTCAAGTGGGGCGACGCGCCGAGCAGAAAACCGCCAACTGCCGCGCGCCCCGAGCGCGCGGCAGGCAGAAAACGTCGCGCGCCCGGGGCGCGCGATAGGCAGGACAGCAACGGAAGCATAGGGTAGGCCCATAGGCCAGGATCGAACGAGCTTTGAAACCATGTCAAGAACTAACGAGGAGGGATGTGAACAGCAGAAGAGAGATTGCACTAGCAGGCAGAGGGGATACAAATACGAAACCCTAACAGGGCTGTACTCACTACTTAATACCCCACTGCAGACTAGATAATATTAACATTCTGACACAAGGGTCTAAATAGCAATCTAGCTAGCCATGTACTCTGAGGGGTACATTCCTTTATTAACTGAATTACATTGCTACAGTAACCACGACAATTGCTCTTCTTGACAGTTACCATGTTGCATCGCGTAACTACCAAGTGCGGTTATTGGACGGTCAAGAGTCACAACCGTTGACTATCTTTCGACTGTTGACCTTCGAGTGACTCTCGATCTTCCGCATGCTCTATATGAGCTATTGCGGTACTAGTACAGACGCGTTGCTTCGTTATGGAGTGACGCGTGGATGGAGAGCCTTCGGGAATGTTACGATAACCTGATTTTTATTCCAATACCCCCCTTCATTCATGAAGATAAGCCACGTGGAATTACTTCGAGATCCCGTAGAGGTCGGTGCAATGCTGAAACTTCTGACGTGGCAGCTTCTTGGTCAAGAAATCTGCTGCCATGTCACCAGTTGGGCAGTAGGTGAGTTTGACCTTGCCTTTGTCGATTTTGTCCTTGACAAAAAAGTAACGAAGTTCGATGTGTTTCGTGTGGTTCACGAAGCCGGGCTTGTTCGCGATCTTGATCGTGTTCTGATTGTCACAGAGTAACGTGAAGTGCCCGTTCATCGTCACTTTCACTTCCTGCAGGAGCTCCATCAGGTATAGTCCTTTGCGAACAGCTGCACTGGCGGCGATGAACTCAACTTCGGCTGACGAAAGCGCGATGAGCTTCTGCTTCTGGGAGTTCCAAGAGATGAGTCCAGCAGGTTGGAGCTGAAAAATGAATCCTTTGCGGGAGCGTCTGTTGTCAATATCTCCTGCGTGATCTACGTCTACGTAGCAATGGAGCTATAGGGTAACGGTTAGGTTAGCTTCGTAGGTGAGTCTGACGTCAGGGGTAGAGACAAAGTATTGAAATGCTCGGAGTAGATCCAGTAGATTCTCCCCTTCAGGTACTGGGCAAGGTGGCTCGCGACGTAGGAGAGATCGGGGCGGCACGTGACGGCGGCGAACAGGAGGCATCCCAGCTGCTGTTGGTAGAGCCGATGATCGTCGAGTCAGAGCGGCGTGGTATCGGGTTCGTGATTAGGAGGAGGAGTGCGGAAGGGGGTGGTGAGATTTATAGGAGTGATGGCGAATTTCTTCGCGAGCGTTTCCGCGTACTTGGCGGCGGAGAGATGGATGGAGGTGGTGGACTGGGTAATGTGAGACCCAGGAATTACGTGACGTTATGGTTGATCGTCACCTCGAGCTTTTCTTTGATTTCTTCTTCAAAGCGGTTGAGCAACTCCGTGTCGTCGCCGGTGTAGAGGAGGTCGTCGACGTAGGCGACGAGAAGAATGAATCGGCCTTGCGACTTCTTTTGGTACATCCCGAGGTCATGCAGCAGCTGAGTGAATCCGAGCCCCGTGAGAACGTTGTGCAGGTACTGCTGCCACAGACGAGGCGCTTGCTTTATCCCATAGAGGGATTTCTGGAGAAGGCAGACGGCGCAGTCGCTCTCTTCGAAGGCGTGCGGCTACTCGACGAAGATGATGGCATCGACTGGTGCGTATAGGAATGCACTACCTTATACTTGTCAATGGATCCATCTGCAAGTGTTTTGATGTGGAAAACCCATATGCCGCTGAGAAAGTTTCTCCCTTTTGCTGATGATCGTGGAACCAGCTTCCACGTTCCGCGGCTCTTCAGCGTCGCAAATTCTGCCTGCCAAGGATGAGGAGGCCGGTTTCGTTGGTCTTTTTGTAGTAGAGCTGGTCGTAGTCGTGGAAGGTGGTAACTTCGATGATATCGTAGTCCCTGTCATGACCGGGTGGGATGGCGTCCTGTGGAGAGTTGTCTAGAGGTAACTCGGCATCTGGAGATTGGCGTAATGTGCTGTTGTAATTGTGGGCTTCACGAGTTGTATCATCAGGATCGAATTGATGAACATGTATGAAGGTTGGAGTTTGAAGTGGGCTTGTAAGGAG